TGTATGTATGACTGTGTGTGTATGTATGCATGTATGTATGAATATATGTATACATGTATGTATGTACGCATGGATGTATTATGTAGGTGTGTATGTGAATGAGTGGATGGGTGTGTGTATTTGGGTATGTGTTATCGCCCGCGAGTATGTATACATTTAGCAACCCATGCTTATGCGTTTTATCGTGATATTCATAATATGCATATTTTTATATGAACATAATATGCTTTACTGATTAAAATACAACTGCTATGTAAAAGACGGGTGTTTGAAATGGCCCAATGTAAAACGGACCTGCGTACCTAATTAGTCACATTTTGTAAATAAAGTTCGTTATTTCTTTAGCTCTCGATTCACTGAAATTCGTTTAGTTCTTCCTTAAATTGTCCACAATAATGATTACATCATACCAATGAATCCTCTCCCCATTCTGTGCCGGCTCTAGTTATTGAATATTTATTAGTAATTGTTTTAGTTTTGAAAGTGAGCTGCCATGGTCTAGCGGCTAGATGCCCGCCTGACGGAAGCGGGCGTTTTTTTTTTTTTTTAAAGTTACCTTGGTTACCCAGGCTCAAATGGGTACCAGGTATCGTCCTGGGAGGTAACGTGGGCCCGGTTGATACTGACCACATTACGCACCGATGCCGGTTGGTCTATAAAATATAAGCCTAGCCCTATATCCCTAACACGTCTGGAGGCGTGGAAAGGGCTCTTTGCTTTACTTTATAAACGTGTTAACAAACTAAAATTTTATTGACTTTATAAGGGGAATATGTGGAGAGAGGCTGGCCCGAGCTCACGAAAATCTCTGCTTTCTGATGCGGCAGTGGTACCCCGATCACTTCTCTAGGAAACGATCTGCAGATGACACCTTTAAAGAGCAACTCCTCAACGTCCCGCTTTCAACTTTTGCAAAACTGCAGCTGAGTTTAAACTCCCGGGATGTACTCTTCGGTCAAAAAGGTTAGCCACTTGACTTGCAGAGATTAACTCTTAAAGCCTGTCACACATTAATGCAGACAGTTTTTCTCAGATCTCTCGTTTACCATTAAAGATTAACAGGTGTTGGTACAGCTTACAAATAGGGTGCTTTATTAATACCCTACCCCAAACATAGGAAATCCACAGGTCAAGGGACAGTCTAATATTTTGAGGGGGTGGTAGATAGGCTGCATGCAGCCTAGGTCTAACGACTGCATGCAGTCGTGGGATGTAGGTGGGTTTGGGTTAGGGTCAGTTCTAGATGTCTTAGGGTCGTTAAAAGCATCAGAAAGCCAGTCTTACCGCCCCATACAATTTTTGACTGTCCTGTGACGTCATCTGGGGTAGGATATTAATTTGGAAACAAAAATAGAATATGTAAAAAAGTAACGTAAAGGTCCCTTTCCACGCTTTTAGGCGTATAGGGCATATAGGGCTAGACCTATATTTTTATAGACCAACGGCACAAGATGGGTGGTGTGGTCAGCATCACGCCGGCCGCCTCTACTTCCCAGGATTGCACCCGGTACCCACTCAAGGCTGGGTCGACCTGGGAGCCAAGGTCATTTTTGAAGAAAAGTCCGTCTCCGCCAGGGAGCGAACCCACGACCTTCCGATCCGCGGCGCGCGTCTAGCCGCTCTGCCACGGCGACTCCCCAATAAAATAAGATAAAAGGCTAATGTTGAACAAACATATAGAAAATGTAGAAGGGATGTCCAGGAGACGACTAGAGCTACCTATAAAACTGACAGGTACAAGTTGAGGAGCGATTGTAAAAACCCTGAAAGACAACTCGGAGTTCGGTGTAACAGCTTCTTCATCAGCTGCTAATTACCATCTTAAGGAGCTAGGCAGATTCAAAAGTAAGCTCTTACAGGCATCACAGGGTCCATTAAAACAGCGCCAATCCTGTAGATGCAGAAAATAACTGCAGCGCAAACACTGTCCCATAGAAGAGACTCTAAAACTATGATCCCAATAGAGGTGTTAAATAGTATGCAATCATACCCAATGAAATCAAGCCTAGATTATCTGGCAATGAGGCGTCTCAAACGTAGATGCTTTGTCCATCGGGGAAAAGACTTCAGGACCAGTATCAAGCAGAGATACCCTTAAAAAAAAAACACAGCTGAAGCCTCCTACCCTATACCCAATATCTTGGGAGCAACTGAGAGACATAATAAAGAAAGTGACTTCAGTCAATGGATTCACACCTGGAGGTGAGTCCAGTCACCTTCAAAAATGTTTATCTGCCCAGGAAAACTATCCCAAACAGTTGTGTATACATGCTTACACAGATGGATCAGCAACCAATGCGGTAAAAAATGGGTGGGGGGGGGGTGTGTGCTGGAGTCCTTATCATATACCCAGTCAGCCACCGCCACATAAAGTATAAAGGTTAGTTGCGTATCCTTTACAGGACGTTGCAGAACCAACCGCAACAGCCCCTGCCTGTTGTGTGGTTTTCTAGTCAAATTTACGTCCAGTACATAAAGTATATACTAAGTGGTAAATTCTGATCCAACTACGCAGCAGATTTAGTTTAGTTCAATTTAGTAGACGGATCAACATCATGGCACACGGGTGTAACCCATTAGTGCTCCGTTATACTTCTAACTCAAACCTGAGTTTTTTAAAAAAAACTCAGTGCAGTACACGAACTCTCACAATAGAAATCCATTCTGATTTACGTGAAAGTTTTTCTCGAAGTTCTTGTTAGCAGTACTTTGGACTTTTCTTGTTGCCCTCCTCTTTTTAATCCATTCTGTTAATTATTGGGGGAGGGAGGGGGGGGGAGGCGTCTGTCGTCTTGCCATAAACTAAGGGGGACGCCCGCTAAAGACTACTGCTAAAGACCAATGGGCATCCCATAAGGGATCAACATCAAGATACGGAAGTTCTGGTGGCTCACCTTGTCGGTAGGGGTGTTGGGAGCAGGAATGGGGGAATTGACCCGCTGCCTTACCAAAGCAATCTCGTGAAAGGCAATTAACTAAGGATTCGATGAAATCCGATGTGTTAGGCCTAAAAGCGTAGATAACGCAACCTAGCTGTAAACCACACCACATGCTGACAGCTTTTTTAATAGTAAACGCAGAAGAAGAACCCATACTGGACTACAAGTTACCTCGCCACCGTTTTGTGGTGGCTCAGTTTAACTGTTATAGGGTTAGACGGTTAAACCTGAATTTCCGGGATTTCAGCCTGTTTGATTCTCATCCTTGAGATGTCAGTCCTACAGACTTTAATCCTGGAGGGAGGAAAACATAAAAAAGAAAATGATTTACCGAGCAGCTCAGCGATCAGTGATCACAAGAATGATAAATTCAGAGCAGTGTTGATGAACGGCCGGACTTTTGAGCACTTAAAGCCCGCTAAATTACTGGTCTAGGTTTGACAAGGAAATCGCATTTAAACACAGTAGAACCTCGTTTAACGAGCACCTCTCATAACGAGTAACTCGCATAACGAGCAAAACAAATTGTAAAAAATGACTAGCTTAACGAGCGATATTTCGCATAACGAGTAGCGAGGAGAGGGGAAGTCCCGGATTGTGCGCATGTTACATCATTCTATGTTTAGCACTCGTTCCAGTGTCGTTTGTGATCACACATTTTTTCAAACGTGTGCTATATTGTTATATATGTACATGAATCCTCCAGGACTACAAGATGACCTCTCTGAAGAATTTAAGTTCATCAAGATCCAGTTTCTGCCTCCCAACACCACCCCGTTACTCCAGCCCATGGACCAGCAAGTTATTTCTAACTTTAAGAAGCTCTACACCAAAGCACTCTTCGAGCATTGTTTTCAGGTGACTGGACCGAAGAGACCAACCTCACTCACAAAGAGTTTTGGAAAAATCACTTCCACGTCGTTGCCTGCCTCAAGATGATCGACAAGGCGGGGCAAGGGGTTACTAAGAGAACCCTAACTTCTGCTTGGAAGAAGCTTTGGCCGGAGAGCGTTGACGATTTGTGACTTTGAGGGGTTCGAGACAGTACCTGCGGAGCCTGTAGTCAACGAGATTGGCCACTATCATAGGATTGTAGGTGGATAACAGTGATATCGAAGAGCTTGTGGAAGAGCACAGCCAAGAGCTGACCACCCATGAACTTATGGAGTTGCATTGGCGAAATAAGAGAAATGCTGAAAGCATAGCAAACTGTTGCATCTTACATTGAGAAGCATCACCCTCATAAGGAAGTGGCTATGCGCGTTGCAAAATTTATTTAATGATAATGCAGTGTCAAATTGTCGCCAAATTTTGAAGCGTTGGCAAAAACACATTTTTCTGGACATCTCTCTACTAAAAATAAAAATAATTAGCCATGTATCATAATTATTTCAACTTTTTTTTCTTCTGCAAATCGAATTCCCATCCCATGTGGGCTCGTTCCACGTTTGAAGAAAAGATGAAGATGATTTACTCTCCTTAACAATATGTACATAATTTTTTTTGAATAAACGTTAAACATAGCATTTTGTGAGTAATTTTTTCGACATGGAACGAATTATCGTATTTTACATTAGTTTATATGATAAAATTTGTTTCGCTTAACGAGTATTTCGCTTAACGAGTAGGATTCTAGAACGAATTATGCTCGTTAAGCGAAGTTCCACTGTAACACCAAAACAGGAGGCCATTTTCTGAGCTGATAATTTTGAATTGTATGCGAAAAATATTGTTGTTTTTAACTGAACTGGCCCTTAGTAACACCCTCCACTGAGGAATTGGAGGGCAGGGGCGGAGAGCTAACAGGCTACATACTCTGTGTTAGGGGGCCGGGGGATGCTTCAAATCCAAATTTAGGGATCAGGACGGAAAGTGCTTCACATCCTGGGGTAGGGAGTTGCTTAGTGACAAGACGCTCACCTGCTGGGCAAAGGTCCTGTGTTTAAATCCGCATCGATGCGAGATGTTTTCATTAGAGGTGATCTAGGCTCACAGGTTGCAAATCCAAAACGTTACCGAGCCAACTCCGGCATTTTTTGGCTGTTGTGGTTTCTCGTGGCACGTTTGTATTCAGTAGTTTGTCATTGATTACTGAACAGTCGGCTGTCTATACCACTGTCGGAAACCAACGAAACGCGGCCTACTGCAAAATGGCCTGCAGCTGGGATAGAACCCGGTGTCCCGGCATCATGAAGCGCGTTTTCGCAACGCTGAAGCCACAGACACGGACTCACAGTACACTTCTTATGTCTCTATTCCTACATATCTTTCTGGCCGTCCAGTTTCCTTCTCATAACATGTCCAAACATGATTACGGTCTCTTTCTGATATGTTGCCTTCGAGCCTTCGCCTCTGCCAAAACATCTTTTCGGCTGTCTAGCGAAGTCTGGTGATTCTTCTGTAGAACCATATTTCTGAGACCTTGAGAAATCACTTAGTTTGTTTATTTAATTGACCGGATTTTACAGCGATATGTTAAAACTGTCTCTGTCAGGCATTTAAGAATTCTAGTAGATCAACATCGTTAACAACAGTTTGGCCTCGTAAATTTAAGAATGCATATACAAACAAGTCCCCAGACCTTTTCTCTATAAATAGTGAAACAAATTTTGAGGGAAATTAAAGAGAATGCTGGAGTAAGAGTTGAAGGATACAATATAAACAATTTGCATTATGCAGACGATACAGTTTTTATATCTGAAAATGCAATTGATTTACAACAACTGCTGGATTTGTGGGGATAGAGAGTGCTAAGAAAGGACTTTAACTGAATATTAAGAAAACGGAAGTAATTGTTATATCAAAGAAGAAGATGATTCCACGTTGTGATGTCTCAGTTGAAGGAAAAAGACTTAACCAAGTCAATAAATTTAATTATCTGGGAACAATCATTTCATCAGATGGAAATTGTGTGACAGAGATTAAAAGCAGAATAGGTCAAGCGAAGGCTGCATTTCAGAAAATGAAAAATATCTTTTGCAATAAATCGCTCTCATTTGATGACAGAAACAGGGTGCTAAAATGTTACATAGAACCTGTTCTGCTGTATGGCAGCGAATATTGGAATGTCACTGAACAAATTGATAAGAATTTTGAAGCAACAGAGATGTGGTTTCTGAGACGAATGTTACGAATACCTTGTACGGCCAGAGCAACTAACAACTATTGCTTGAAAGAGGCAAATGAAAGTAGATCTCTATATACAATAATAATAAAGAGACAAACACTGTTCTTGGGCCATAAAATGAGAAAAAGACACTGTAGAACATCGTGACAACTGGAAAGATCAATGGAAAAAGGGGTAGAGGCAGACCAAGAGAGATGATGCTGGATGGGCTAAAACGATGGCATGGAGGGATATCATCAAGAGAGCTGTTTCAGTCAACCAGGGATCGTGATCTGTGGAGACGCATGAGCGCCTACGCCAGTTGGCAGGGCATATAATGATGATGATATACAAACAATACATTGCATGGAATATTTTGCTTTATCTCGTCTGTATTCTTCTTCTTCTTCTTCTTCTTCTTTTGTTGTCTCACTGTTACCAGTAACCCAGTGTCATGATTTTCTGTATTTGTTTTACACTTATTGGATTTGTTAAAGTTTTTGCAGGTTTTATCTACACCATTTATCTACATCTTTATTGGTCTTCCTCTCGCCTTCCTCCCAGATGTCATACTGTAAAAAGTCTCATATGCAGTCTGTTCTTGCAAGTAATCTCACTAGATAGCCGAACAATTTCATTCTTTGTCAGTATAATCCAGATATGATCTTATTCCAACTGTCTCTCTAATGCTGGTATTCGTAACCCTGTCATTTCTTGTGTTGTTAGTGACTTTCACATGTAGTTATTTTCTGTTCTAGTGCCCTATTCGTTGTCTACGTTTGGCACTGATAACATAAAGAAGGGATAAAGGTGCTATTAATTATTTCCTATTTTGCTGGAAGGGAGACATTTGGGTGTCTAAGCAGTGGGGCTAACTAGTAGGTGACAGCATTTGCCTTCTGTACTCTGGCCTCTATCTCTCTATGGAGTCTGTCATCCTCAGTAAATATGTTTCCTAATTATTTAAATTCTCGTACCTGTTTGATTGTAGTACCGTTAACATTAACGTTCAGGATATCATGTTTCCTGCCTATCCTCACTACTTCAGTTTTCACGGTATTTGTTTATTCTCATGTCTCTCCTTTGTGCAGGCTTAATGTAAGGAGTCAAAATGGTTTTGCAATTTCTGTTCTTGGTGGTGCATTACTAAAGAGTTAATGAAGCATAACAAATAAATCCTTTTCGCTTAAAAGATGCTACAGTTTTATTGATACTAGTTTTATTAATCGTCTACTCTATGTGTGGTAAATATTTCTGAGTGCACAATCTATATCAGCTTAGTGCCCAGAGTCAAGCAAATGACGTCCTGTCGAAAAACTGAGCTCCCTTTTCTTGGCTGATCTTGATAAGGATCTTCATTTAGTTGTTCTGCAACTTTGTGCGACACATGATCAATGCAGTTTGATTTGGTGTACTAAGATACTGGTTCTTTAAGAGGCGTGGTAGGCATGGCAGTGGTATTATGTCTGCATTACTTAAATATTAGCGGCATCCGTGGCTACGGCGTTGCGAGTCCGTCGGAGTCAGCATACCGCGATCGAAACCCACTGCAGGCTGCGTGGATTTTTGTCGTGGTATGGGACGTCGCAGGTCGACCCAGCCTAAAGTGGGTACCAGGATGGGCTGTCCTGGGAAAGTAAAGACAGCCGGCGTAATGCTGACCACATTACCCACAGAGTTGCTGATGGTCTGTAAAAATATGGGACGCTCTGCCTATATGCCCGATGCGCCGAAAGGCGTGAAAAGGGATCTTTACTTTATTTTTTTTTTACTTAAATATTAACAAACACATATTTTCGCTCATGCCAACAATTAAACTCCCCAATTACACTTTTTTTTTCTTCTTTGCAGAAACTCCTTACCACTTTTCGAACACCGTGGCTCTCTTATCTGATGGTGGCTACAGACAAAATCTGGACAGACGTCATCAACCTCTGGAATCAGATGGGACCAGAATGACAAAGACCGTATTGCAGTTGTTGACAGGAACAGCCTATGGTCGAGTGAAGCGTGTACGACGCAGCATGGTTTGTGACTGCTGCATCAACCGATGTACCACTCGACACCTTGCCACTTACTGTTAAACCATGACCGTCTCCAGCTGACAGAGCCGTGGTGCTAACGTCATCAGACTGACGTGATGTCACCACCCCAGGTTGATGTTATGTTCCGTTTTTACTCTGACAGTTTTTGTCCACCAAGTATATTAGCAATATTATCCTTTCCCATTCAGTATATCAGCAATATTCTTTTTCTCCACTAGTATAATACCGGCATTATCCTTGTCCATCCAGTATATTAGCAGTATTATCCTTGCCCACCCAGTACATTAGCAATATTACCCTTGTCCATCCAGTATATTAGCACTATTCTTCTTGCCCACTAAGTATATTCAAACTATTTTGCGAATGGAAAATCATTTTGGATTTGTAATATTTAATAATCTATATAATGGTAATGTAAGATATGTTATACCCACTACCTCCCAAACAAGAATTTCATAAAATTCGACTAATTGGGGTGTCCTTTAAAGTGAGAATGCATTTGCCTGAGAGGCAAGGAACCAACAGTCTGCACATAATTAAGTCAGGTGTGTAAAATGGATGTGCATGAAATACTCAGATTCCGGAACAAGTTCAAAGTCCGGGGGTGGATTAACAGCCAGAACTCTCCGCCGGAGTTTACAGCCAGTGAACGCGAAGAAAAAGAAGACGAAGAAGAAGAAGAAGACGAAGAAGAAGAAGAAGAAGACGAAGAAAAAGAAGAAGAAGAAGAAGAAGAAGAAGAAGAAGAAGAAGAAGAAGAAGAAGAAGAAGAAGAAGAAGAAGAAGAAGAAGAAGAAGAAGAAGAAGAAGAAGAAGAAGAAGAAGAAGAAGAAGAAGAAGAAGAAGAAGAAGAAGAAGAAGAAGAAGAAGAAGAAGAAGAAGAAGAAGAAGAAGAAGAAGAAGAAGATATATTATAAGGTATACGAAGAGATCACAGGTCATAATAGTGTTTTTTTTTTTTTTCCTTTGAAATGCTGTTGCGCGAAAACACAGCATACTGAACATAAATCCAAGAAGATTCACATGCAGAACTTATTAAATCTATTCCAAGAAAATACCACTTATGTGTGAATCAAAGTGAAGGTAAAATCACCTTTAAATATTATTAAATAACATCAACAAACAGACACTAACACGTATGAAAGACATCTGGCAGCCATTGTGCGACTGCCTAGGGTCAGTCAAAAAAAAAAGGACCTACTTTGTTCCCCTGCGGCACAGCCTACGGTGCACAGCTGATCAGGAGTGCCATGCCACCCAGTAGTTGGAGAATGCCTTGGTTAAACTATGTAGACGGTTCCTGCGTATCAATCCCTTTACTGAACTACCACAAACAGGTTAATTAGAACTGTAAAATGGCATTTGTGGCCTGAATAATATGTGCTTTAAACTAATGAAAACCAAAAATCTAAACCAGAAAAAAAAACATACACACATAAAAACTTGTTTTCAAAATATAAGCTTTTAACACCTAAATTGCATACAATAACCAACGAATTTAACAGATTTATTTGCATCATATGGTTTATTAGACACAAGAATTTAACAATGACATGTGTTACCAATAAATTTATTTGTGTTTACTTTATCATATATAGGGCCCTGTGGTATATTTTCTCAGTATGATGGCCCTTAAATGTTCAAACTGCATTTTGATTTCGCTGCTTATGCCGCCCCTTTACGGTGCCGCCTGATGCGCCCGTACGAGTCACTGTATCATAGCAATGCATAGCCCTTATTATACACTTCAAGGACGCCCGAGTTTAAATAATTATCTTTACCAAAAACAAAACAAAAAAGATCTACAGGAGTGTACCATGACGAAAAGAAGAGCGTGGAGCCCACAAATAATATGTGTATACATAAGAACTCAATTAAATATTGAATGTCTTATACTTGTGTCAAGCTATGTCCTGAATTGTATATTGTTGGTTAGGTGCCCTATGCATGAGTGTTTGCCCCAAATAAATTACAACATAAGCTACAGTGTTCCTCTGCCTCCTTGTAATGTTGTAGTAAGTAAGTAAAGATCCATTTTCACGCGATTAGTCGAAGTCTGTGGCTTAGGCGTTGCAAATGCGCTTCTTAATGCCGAGGTGCAGGGTTCGATTCCAGCTGCGGGCCTTGCGTTGGTTTCGACAATGGTATCGAGAAGCCGACCGTTCAGTAAAGGAATGGCAAACTACTGGACGTAAACTTGCCTAGAGAAACCACAACAGCCAATAAATGCTGAGATTGGTTCTGCAACGTCCTGTAAAGGATACACAACTAACTTTAGGCGCAACGGGTATGTGGAAAGGGCACCCATATTTTTACAAACCAATCGGCTATAGGTGGGTTTTGTGGTCAGCATTACGCCGGTCGTCTGTACTTCCTCAGGACATACCATACATCCTGGTACCCATTTTAGGCTGCGTCGACCAGCGATGCCCAACCCATGATATAAAATATCAGTGTGATGCTTGAAATTGTTTTGTCTTGTCGTTATCGGCTATTTCTGGTCTGATGAAGGAGAAGTCACAACGGATAACACTCTTTATATCAAGCTGGCAATGCTGTTCTGTTTACAAGACAGTGAAAGCTGAAAATCCTAATTATTGCAGGTACAAATTACCCCAGTTACAAAATTGGTTGACGACCCCTTGAAACTTCCTTGCCCTATATGCCCAATACGCCTGAAGGTGTGGAAAAGGGTCTTTCACTTAACTGCAAGATAATTGTAACTCATCTTATTCTTCATCTTCTTCTTCTTCCTCTTTTTCTTCTTTTTCTCTTACACCTTGTACCTCAGCGAAGTGTCGGGGGGAGATGTAACATTCGTTGATGAGCTCTGTCATGAGTACTATTAAGATTGGTGTTCATTTCTGTAAGGTTGTTCGTTGCTCTTAGAAACCACAAATTCCTATTTCGTTCCTTTACATTTCAGGATTCGCAAAACTAATATAAATTACCACAAAACAAAAACACGTGTATACTTTTACTGCAAGAGAGGAAGAAAACAACTTCAGAAATACTGAGTTTCAACAAATAATGTTTTATTTACATAAACTGTTTACCATGCCTCCAGAAATATGTCTGCCATCTGGCACGGCTTGTAGTATACTAAATACAGAAACTAATCCAATTTTTTTAAGTTTATAACCAATGTGAAATGTGCTGCTATATTTCTTGGAAATTATCTGTACAACCATAAAGTGACAATAACTCTTAGTTACCTCAATCCTCACTTTTTGGCCGCATCAAAGGATCTTTCTAAGCACAGATAATCATCACTTGTCGGATCCTATGTTTTACGTTAACTCAAAGAGCTTCTGTTATTATGTTAGATCCAGGCTCCACACAGCTGTCGCTTTAACTCGGCCTATTCCGTTGCTTCCACACTTCATTTAATCTAAGGTAGTTGAGAAAATACATTTCCGGTGTGCACTATGCGCAAATACAACATATCAAGCTAAGAGAAACATCAGTGCAAGTCAAACCTTACGGGTGGCTGAGTGAATTGCCAAAGACAGTGAAGGTCATACTAGAGACAACATTGCAGATATAGATAATCTATTTCAGGCGAACTAAAGAAGAACAACAACAACATTTTCGAGCCTGATAGCTGCCATTTTCCAACAGTGGTTCTGAGTAGGGCTATGCCGAATATTCGCTTCGTATTCGCTTCGAGGCCGAATAGTGGACCTAATAACTATTTGGTATTCGGCCGAAAAGTTGCGGTCGGGCCAAATACGAATAGTGGTTACCTTACACCCGTTTCTGCATACACTGCAACAGACTGAAGTAACTCTCTCATTAACACAATATGTACAGAAGGTACAGAATAGCGACATTCGAGTTACCATTGAAACAGAAGTGAATAACTACATGTCAGAGCCGTGTATCCCAAGAGACAATGACCCACTGGACTGGTGGAAAATAAACATATCAAGATTTCCCAACTTCGTTCATACTGTCAAGAGTTCTCTTTGTGCACCACCTACCAACGTACCAAGTGAACGTCTGTTTAGTACAGCTGGAAATACCTTAAGTGAAACGAGAAGCTGACTTAATGCTGACAACATGACACGATTGGTTTTGTTGAAAGCTAATGCCGCTTTCATGCACTAACTAAGCTGTCATTGACAATTTACAAGTTTAGTTACTTGTTATAAAACTAAGAATACTTTCATTCCTAGATATTAGTTAGCACAGACTGCCTGGCTGAAGGATGCAAAACATGAAATGTTTTTAAATGTTTACTCTTCTGTACAACTCCGCTAAGACCGGTCCCAAGCCCGGCTGTAAAAGGAGGAGGGTCTGGCTGAACCTGAGTGCTTCATGCGCCTCCGGAAGTAGTGGGTAACCGTGAATCAGCCAGACGGCCTGCATGGAGGCCGCAAGGAGGCAGCCCCTCCACCATGCAAAGGCACAACAGGCTAATCACCTGTTTGCCTTAAACCACGATTACAAGTAACCACAGAGAGAAAACCGGACGGATCTTAACGGCGACGAACTGGCATGGCTTACGGACTACGATTTATGGAACATGGAACATAAGAGGCATTAACGGAAAGGAAAACGAGTTAGTAGGGGAGATGAGGAAAGCAAAATTAGGAGTCTTGGCTCTGACTGAAACCAAGAAAAAGGGGCAAGGAATCACAGATCACGATGGAAGTATGCTGCTCTACAGTGGTGTCCCTATGACGGAGAGAGCCAAGGGAGGTGTTGGCTGTATTGTGGCCAGGAATCAAGTTAGTAACATCAAGGGATGGAAATTCATCTCAGAACGAATAATGGTGTTAGATCTGAAAGAAGAAGATAAAATTGTCAATTTTGTCATTGTGTACGGGCCAAATGAAGATGAGCGAGTAGATGTTAAAGAAGAATTCTTTGAACTGCTCCAAAGGACCATAGATGACTGTCACGGTGAAATTATCCTCCTAGGAGATCTAAATGTCAGAGTAGGAAATGATCACTCTAGATGGGGTGGAGTGATCGGGAGATATGGTGAAGATGTTTTGAATGATAATGGCAAGCGGCTTCTCAGATTCTGCAGG